GGGTATACACTCATACCTCTCTATAACTGCATACTTATATAACATTACTTCACTATAATAGTCAAGTTTTTTCCGGAACCAAATTTCATTTTCTGTTATAATATACATTTTTTATAATAACAATTCGCTATAAAATCCAAAAATATTTGAAACAAACGAGACTGTTATAGAGAGGTTTGACTGTACAAAAAAAAAACTTATAAACAACTTGAAATTAATGTGGAATCATAGGGAAATTACTTACTTCACTCAAGCATATAAATAACCCCCTAGCTTTACATATATATATTGACTGTAGGTTATGTATTTTTGACCTGCGCATGCCGGAGATTAACCTTTTTCGGTTAAAGCTTAATAGAAAAAAAGTGTGAGGTACAAAAACCTTTGAGGTTGCCTAAATGAGTAACACAGGCTCTTCTCTTGAATGCGGAGGAGTAGAAGCGCAAATAATTTTCTTCCTCTTGATCCTAAAATTGAACGGACACTTCACAGAGTGAGGAGGGAAGTCGAAGCTAGAACTAGAATAGAAAGAGAGTTAGACATCGTAGTTCAACCACATCCAATAGAGATGGCAGGTAATGCAGAGCGTGCGGTGATAGAAGCCGCAAGGCCCAATCTTGCTAATATGACTCAAGCTATTGTGAAGCCTAAGATCATAGGGCATTTTGAACTCAAACAGTACATGGTACAACTGATTCAGTCCATAGGGCAATATGTGGGTCTTATCTCATGAAGATCCGCAGAGGCACATTTAAAATTTCTTGGAAATTATGGATACCTACAATTATCCGAACGTTTCCAAGGATTATGTCAGGCTGACACTTTTTTCTTTTTCACTGATGGGGGAAGCTAAGGAATGGTTGCAGAAAGAGCCCGCGAACTCAATCCACACTTGGGATGATCTAGCACGGAAATTCTTAATTAAGTTTTTCCCCACGAAGAAGACAAAGTCATTGAGGACTCAGATTCTTGGGTTCGAACAACGGGATGGCGAGACACTTCGTCAATCTTGGGAAAGATACAAGAAGCTACTCAGAGACTGTCCGCATCATTGTCAGACTGATGAGGTACTGTGACACACTTTTGTTGACAGGCTAGATGAGGCCTCAAAGATGAATCTTGATTCAGCTTATGGGGGTAGCTGCATGGCGAAAACATATAATCAAATCCAACTCTTGCTAAATAACTTCACTGCTAATGATCATAATTGGCAAGGAGATGGGGATTCATGAAAGGCAATTAAACAGAAAGCATCCGAGTTGATTGAGCTTGATGATTTCTCAGCCATGAGAGCTGATATAGCAAAATTGGCAAATCAGATGAATAGAATGACAATGCAACAAACACAACAGATGCAACATGTACAACAGATGTCTTTTTGCTGCGAACTATGTTGTGAAAATCATATGAGTGACATGTGCTCCACGAATCCTGAATCCATATACTATGTGGGGAAATAGAGCACAGGTCCAATAAATTAGCATGCACAATATGGGAACACGTACAATCCAAATTGGAAGAATTATCCCAACTTCTCATGGGGTGGAAATCAGCCGAATCAAAATCATTATAGACCCCAAGAAAATTTCAATCAACCTCCGAACCCACACTAACAAACAGAATAGAGTACGAATGACTTGCTGAAGAAGTTGTTGCTTGACAATCAACAGCTCAGGAACGATTTTAGAAATCTTGAGAGACAAATGGGGCAGTTAGCAGCAAATCAAAATACTAGATCTGCTGGAGCTCTCCCGAGTGATACTGAGCCTAATCCTAAGGCTCAAGTCAATACGGTTACCTTGAGAAATGGAAGAGAATTAGAACAAGTTCCAGAGAAAAAGAAATATATAGCTAGACCTCAAGGAGAATTAGGTCCCAAACCCGTTGAGGAGAATAAGAAAGAAAAGCCAGAAATTATGACAAGGCTACCACCTCCATTTCCACAAAGACTTCAAAATGGAAAGTGGACAATACCTTGAAAGCTTAGCCATTTGCAAAATATGGAAGTTTAAGTTTTTGTAATTTTTATGTAATTTTAGAGGGAAATATCATATTTAATATCCCGCAAATATTTTTTTTGGCTAGGTTTTGGGTATGGATATTGTTGATATACTAGCTAGTCTATATGGTGATTTCCATGCTGAACTCACTTATAAATATTTTTTGAAATTCTGCTAATAATAATCTACATATGTTCTAATTCAGTTTTGATTTAGGGCATCTCCAAGGCTGCACCATTTTTTGCACCAAATCTAAATTTGGTGTAAAATTTAGTTTTTTTTTGCTCCAATGGAACACCAAATATTGCACTATTATAGTGCATGAATAGTGTTGTACCAAATTTGGTGCAACACTATTCATCACACCAAATTTGATTTATTATTATTTTATTCATCTTTTTATTTTTTTGAACTTTTAATTTATCATATATTGTGTATATAATTAATTTTTATATTAAGATCTTTATAATTTTAATTTTATATCCTATTTTTTTGATATATTAATTTTTGTATATTTTATATTTATATAAAATTAATAATTAATTTTATTATTATTATAATTATATAAAAAGAAATATAACCATTGTTTAAAAATAAAAAATACAAATGGAAGATATCTAACGTTGCTAAAATTGAAAAGTGAAAACTAAATTTAAAAAAAAAAATTAACAATACATAAAATAAAAATACATTATAATTAAAGTACATCAAAAGATGATACATTAAAAAACATAAAATAAAAGTTTAGTAATCCCCTATGTCATTTCCAGGTGCACCAAAATTATCAACATACTGAGAGAACGAGGTAGAAGATTGTTGTGCTTTCAAGGCTTTTAGTTGATTTATCATTTAAAATAATTTTGTAATAAATGATTATATAAGTGGTGAATGTGAATTATATATAATGAATATGGAAAAAAGAAAAAAGATAGTATTTGTTTGAAGGAAATAAAAAATAAAATTTAAATAGAAGATAATAATATAATATAATATAAAGAAGAGGGAAGAAATATTATTTTTGGTGTAAAAATGATGTAATGGTTGGAGTAAATTTGATGTTACACCATTTTAGTGTGAAATTTAATGTTAGGGTTGGAGATGGTCTTAAATGAAATATAATTTAACATTAATTGATCTTAATTGGTAAATTTATTTTTAACAAGGTACTATAGATACAGTATTGTTCTTCATTTCATTATTGAGATGTCTAACTCCACTTCAACAGTCAAACTCACTACTAGAAAACTGCCTAAAACCAATCAGAAATATCGATCGAAATCGGTCGGAAAACTGAAAAAACAAACCTATTTTCGATCGACTTTAATCTGTCAAAATTAAGTTGTACGGTAAAAAATAGCAACCGAAATTGATCACAATTTTCGACCGATTTCGGTTGGTTCATAAACGACCCAAAAAGAAAAAATCTACCCTAAAAACCGACCGAAGCCGATCGGTATTTTTCGATTGAATTCGGTCGGTATTTTTAATTATACAATTTAAAAATACACCGTCTGAGTATCGAACCGGGGTTTGTACTGTGGAAGCCGGCAGGATACTATTCTACCACTAGATTATAGGTACGTTTTGGTTTTAGACTTTTTTTAATTTATATGTACTCTTTAATTGCATTTTCGCACGAAAATAACCGACTGATTTTGGTCGGTTCTATTAAAACTATAAAATTACCGACTGAAGTCGGTAGATTTTTTAAAATGACTTACTGAGATAACCAACTGATTTCGGTCGATTTTTTGAATATTAATTTTAACTTATTTTATATGAAAAACCGACCGATTTCGGTAAATTTCTTAAAAAAATAAATTTTACAGGATGCTAAAATAATTTCCCGTATTTTTACGCAAAAAAAAAGTTGACCCGAAGTCGACCGGTTTAGTAAAAAGAAATTAAAAAAATAAAATATTCAAGAAAAACTTAACCGACTTGGGTCGATTTTACCGATCGAAGTCTGTCGATTGGCTGCGAATTTTGACCGAATTTCTAGTAGTTTACGTGTCTTAAATTGTCAAAATCTCCGAAAGAATAGGAAAAACTTGTTAAGTTACCGTGTACAAATTTCTGTCATTATCATATATTGCTTGTGAAATATCAAATAGATTGATAACAATTGAATGATCAAATTACATAATTTGACAAGCAAAATTCACTAACCACATTAATTTCCTTGATATTCTAAAATCATTTTAATACATTTTAGGATTCAAAAAATTATAGTTTGCAATGTAATTTTTAAATTTTTTTAGTTAACGTGTAGAAAGACTTGAAGAATTGTGGAACTCGACATTTGAAAAGTGATATGTCTTGCAAAAATATAAAAATGCGGAGCTCTTCATTTAAAAGTTTTCTGGTTTTTAAAAATAATCTTATTGCTCAATATTAGTCGTTTACTAGCATTTTATATTGATCCCAACAATAATTGTTTCACTTGATAATGTAAAATCATTAAACTCATTTAAAGTTATTGTGATTCGTACTATTTGGTAAAAAAAAAACTAGCTTCGCTCTATATTTCCCTGTTCTTACGAAAAACCTATTCCTAATATGACCCGATGTTTAAGGAAAAACTAAGAAGTTGGATGAGGATCCATGTCATAAAAACAATACCATAATTAGATTAGGACCCATGCAGCAGTAGAGTTAATAACGCTGATAAATTTTGTTATTTTCGCCATTAATGTAGCACAAAACAAATTAATAAATTCTTCATCATTATTTCAAAAATGTGAAAAACATTTATGATTAAACAGTACATATTCAGAGTACTAGTATCATACTATTCCCATCCATGTAGATACAACCCAGATTTTTTGTGTAATTTACGTAGTCATAGAAAACCATTCCAAAAAGGAAACAGACTAAACAAAAAAAGAAATTAAAAACACAATGATTTCGACATTCAAAAAATATTAAAAAATAGACATATATCATATCACCTATACAGACAGTTCACTCTATATATATAATTAAAAACCAAATTCACTACAGATGTCTCTCTCTCTCAAAAAATTAACTCACACAACATGTCTTAGTCAAGCTTTTACTACGCCCTTTTCCCAAAAAAGAAATTTGCAGTCTTTCTTCTTCTTCTTCTTCCTTGTTCTTTCTTGATTCTCTTACCTATTCTTTGAACACAGCAAAAGCCACTTCAATTTCAACAATGTTTCTTCAAATCTTTGTTACTCTTTTGTTCCCAACTTTGATTTTCTCACTTAACCAAGAGGGTCTGTATTTACACAACGTGAAGCTCGGATTTGATGACCCTGATAGTGTTCTTTCCAACTGGAATGAGCACGACGAGACACCGTGTAACTGGTTTGGCATAACCTGTGATCAAACAACTCGGTCCGTTACATCCTTGGACCTCGCCAATGCTAACGTTGCTGGTCCTTTTCCTTCACTTCTCTGTCGGTTGAAGAAACTGCGTTACATTTCGTTATACAACAACGCTGTTAACTCCACCCTTCCTGAAGATTTTTCCGGGTGTGAATCTTTGGAGCATCTCGATTTGGCTCAGAACTTTTTGGTCGGTACACTTCCGGCGAGTTTACCTGAGCTTCCGAATTTGAAATACCTTGACTTGGGGGGAAACAACTTTACCGGCGACATTCCGTCAAGTTTCGGTTCTTTCCGGCAGCTGGAGGTTCTTGGACTGGTTGGGAACTTGCTGGACGGGACTATTCCAGCGTTTCTGGGTAACATTTCGACGTTAAAGCAGCTGAATCTGTCGTACAACCCGTTTTCGACGGGTCAGATCCCGCCGGAGCTGGGAAATCTGACAAATCTCGAGGTTTTGTGGCTCTCGGACTGTAATTTGGTCGGTGAAGTTCCTGATACATTGGGTCGGTTGAAGAAGATTGTGGATTTGGACCTTGCTGTGAACTACTTGGATGGGCCGATCCCGAGTTGGCTCACTGAGTTAACTAGTGCTGAACAAATTGAGCTGTATAACAACTCGTTCACCGGCGAGTTACCGGCGAATGGGTGGTCGAAAATGACGGCGTTAAGGCGACTCGACGTGTCGATGAATCGGGTCACGGGTACGGTTCCGAGGGAGTTGTGTGAGTTGCCACTTGAGTCGCTGAATCTGTATGAGAACCAAATGTTTGGTGAATTGCCACAAGGCATTGCGAACTCGCCGAATTTGTACGAGTTGCGGCTTTTTCACAACCGTTTTAATGGTAGTTTGCCTAAAGATCTTGGGAAGAATTCACCTTTGTTGTGGATTGATGTGTCTGAGAATAAATTTTCTGGTGAAATTCCGGAGAATTTGTGTGGGAAAGGGTTTTTGGAAGAGCTTTTGATGATAGATAACGTACTTACTGGTGAAATTCCGGCGAGTTTGAGTGAATGCAGGAGCTTATTGCGGGTGAGATTGGCTCACAATCAATTATCTGGTGATGTTCCGGCGGGTTTCTGGGGCCTACCACACCTTTCCCTGCTTGAGCTCGTGGACAATTCACTATCTGGTGATATCGCAAAAACTATAGCTAGTGCTTCAAATTTATCAGCTTTGATTTTGTCCAAGAACAAATTTTCAGGTCCCATTCCAGAGGAGATTGGTTCTCTGGAAAATATTCTTGATTTTGTGGGCAACGATAACCAGTTTTCTGGGGCTTTGCCAGCTAGTTTAGTGATGCTGGGACAATTGGGAAGGCTGGATCTTCACAACAATGAGTTAAATGGTGAGCTTCCAAGTGGGATTCATTCTTTGAAGAGGTTGAATGAATTGAACTTGGCAAACAATTATCTTTCGGGAGCTATCCCCAAGGAAATTGGGGGCTTGTCTGTTTTGAATTATCTTGATCTATCAGGGAACCAGTTTACAGGGAAGATCCCAATGGAGTTGCAGAATTTGAAGCTTAATCAGCTGAACTTGTCGAACAATGACCTTTCGGGTGATATTCCCCCTTTGTATGCAAAGGAAATGTATAGGAGTAGCTTTTTGGGGAATGCTGGTTTATGTGGAGACATCGAGGGCTTGTGTGAAGGAACAGCTGAAGGTAAAACTGCTGGTTATGTTTGGTTATTGAGGTTACTCTTTACTCTTGCTGGATTGGTGTTTGTAGTTGGGGTGGTTTGGTTCTATTGGAAGTATAAGAATTTTAAGAAAGCTAAAATGGCTATTGATAAGTCTAAATGGACTTTGATGTCGTTTCATAAGTTGGGTTTCAATGAGTATGAAATCTTGGATGCTCTTGATGAGGACAACTTAATTGGAAGTGGCGCTTCCGGGAAGGTTTACAAGGTTGTTCTGAGCAAGGGTGACACTGTTGCGGTGAAGAAGATTTTGAGAAACACGAAAATAACAGATGAGAGTAGTGATATCGAGAAGGGTAGCATTCAAGATGATGGATTTGAAGCGGAGGTTGAGACATTGGGGAAGATACGGCACAAGAACATTGTTAAGCTATGGTGTTGTTGTACAACAAGGGATTGCAAACTTCTGGTTTACGAGTACATGCCTAATGGAAGCTTGGGTGATTTGCTACACAGCAGCAAAAGCGGCCTTCTAGACTGGCCTATGAGATATAAGATAGCCATGGATGCTGCTGAGGGACTCTCTTACTTGCATCATGACTGTGCTCCGCCGATTGTTCACAGAGATGTTAAGTCAAACAACATCTTGTTGGATGGTGATTTTGGAGCTCGAGTTGCTGATTTTGGTGTAGCGAAGGCGGTCGATGCCAATGCCAAGGGAATCAAGTCCATGTCTGTCATTGCAGGGTCTTGTGGTTACATTGCTCCAGGTTAGTGGATAAATATTTCCACTTTGCAGCTTAAATTTTAATGAGTTTGTCTAATTTGTTGATATCAATACCATGTTGAGTTTTACTTACCAATTTTTATGTCGTAAAATTTTGGATTCTTGCCTTTCAAAAATGAGATCTAGTATTACTGTTGCAGCCATTGAGTAGACCGCTAGATCTATATACTGCTATATTTCCTGGATATTCCACATTTTGTTAAGTATAATAAACTTCTGATAGAAATTGCCTCATATCTGGACTACCCTAATACAGTAACCGCACAGCATTTGAATAGTCCACTAGGCTCCACGATGTTTCCATGTTTAAACAGTTCTGATGAAATTGTTCTTGAGGATAAAAGACTGTATTAGGACAGTAGAAAAAGTTATGCTTAGTTTTCCACTTTTGATTTTTGAAACTATTAACAGCTAGCTATATTGGGGGCAGCTGGTAAGTTTGATTATCAATAACCCATTTTGGGTTTCATGTGGCGATTTTTTATTAGATTTGTGTTCTTGTTTACTTTGGGCTGCTTACTTTATTAAATTCTCTTTTGCATTGCAGAATATGCATATACACTGCGGGTGAACGAGAAGAGCGATATATACAGCTTCGGTGTGGTAATCCTAGAGCTTGTGACTGGGAAGCGCCCTGTGGATCCCGAATTCGGGGAAAAGGATTTGGTGAAGTGGGTATGCTCTACACTGGACCAGAAGGGTGTAGATCATGTAATTGACCCTAAACATGATTCTTGTTTCAAGGAGGAGATATGCAAGGTCTTAAATATTGGCCTCCTCTGCACTAGCCCTCTCCCAATCAACCGACCCTCGATGAGACGGGTCGTAAAAATGTTGCAAGAAGTGGGTGCTGGGAACCTGCCCAAGGCTGCTTCTAAGGATGGCAAATTGACTCCTTATTACTATGAAGAAGCATCAGATCAAGGAAGTGTAGCTTAAAGATGGCTCAACAAATTTTGTCACAAAGGATGAACTTGAAATTGGTACTCATTTAACATCTTTGTTCATCTGCTAACTACTCAATTCTTTGTCCACAAGTATACACTAGATGTTTGCTGTTGTTTTGGGTTGAGGGGCAGAAAGAATTGAAGTTAAATGTAAAAGGGAGGCAAAAGAATATTAGGAAGGGCAAAAAAAAAAAAAAAAAAAAAAAAAAAGAGTTGGAAGACGCTTGTTTCTCAATTTAAATTTCATCCAACCACCCAAATTATTGCAGTAATTACTAGCCAAGTTTGAATATCTGGCATTAAAGGATCTTAAATGTGCTACCTATACTCTGTTCTCTTGACAGTGATTTTTCTACAATCTCCAGCATCTTTCTGGTGAATTCTGAGTCTAATCAAGCAATTTTTAAAGTTGGTTGTTGCAATTGAACTACTGCTTTTAATGGTAACTACTAGAGTATGTACAAGAATTACCAAAAAAGGGGGAATATTTCTCGAGTCCGGAACCCAGAGTGAAAAAAAAAAAAAAAATTTACCTTTCTATATATAACGCAAAAATACGCCACGCTATACCTTAACGGTTACTTTTGCCGTTAAGGTATAGCGCGGCACATTTTTGCGTTATATATATCGCAAAAAAACAGCGCGCTATACCTGTTATTAAATAATCCCCTTCGTCTTCCCCAAGACCAGAACTGACGATTTGACTGGCATGTATAGCGCGACCTATTTACGCGCTATATATATCGCAAAGAAACAATGCGCTATACCTGTTTGTGGGCCCACAAATAAGTTAACTGACATAACAATAATTCAAATGTGTATAGCGTACATTCAAAGAGCGCTATACATAAAAAATTTCAACCCCCGGGCTTGCCATTTCCGATATAAAGGGGTTAGGATTTTAGGAAAATCCATTCCCAAAAAATTCTAACTCCCATTCAAACTTTTCTTCTTGTTAAATTCTCAAGCATTTTTTCGTAATGTCTGTAGAGCGTAGAATAAAAGTTTCATTATATTGGGTGAGGGGGGTGAGGTTGTAATGGAGAATAACTCTGTGAGATATAGTTTATCTCCACAGGGTCATGTTAAATTACCACTTACAATGGAGTACGATAAATTGATATCGTTGTTATGCAAAAAAATGAGTGTGTGATAAACTGAGGACTCCGGATGAATACCGGAAATTTCTTGTAATCAAAATGTTGGATATGTACGTCAAGGTCGAAGACATTCCCAACAATGAGGTTGCCGGACAGGTTCCGGATAACCCCCACTCATCGGGTTTGTTTGTGTTTGTTTTATAATTTAAATTCTTAATTTTTAATTATTTAATTGTACAAAGTATATATATACCTATTTTCATCTACCAGTATAAGAAATACTTAAACTACAGGGATTCTACGCTAAAATACTCTACAGTTTACTACGCTAAAAGGTTCTACATTTTACTACGCTAATAAATAATCTAAACTAAATATAAACAACAAATACATTTTAATCACATAACATTCACAAAAATACATATAACATACTAGTTTCGCAAATAAAACACAAAACGACATGGAAACACTAATATCTAAATTCGGATATTAACAGAAAAAATTATTTCTCAATTTACATTTTTTGAGGCTTAATTCTTGAAAGATGTTACTATTGAAATTGTTTACTGTGTAGAAAGAATGTGATACAAATTATTATGATGTACTAGAGTTTGGTGACTTATTTATGGCCCTCTTCTTATTAACTGTAATGGGTCCGAGATTCTTATCTACCTCAAATTGCACTAGTACATCTGAAACATTTCACCAAAACTATGGCCAAGGGAAGAGGACAATCCAGTGCATATCCAGAAGGACAGTAGCCATTTGTTGGCCAACATGTGGGAATTCTTGCACGTGTGCTTGTTTGCTTCCTGATTTATTTGAAATACTGGAAAATGATTTGTTAAACAAAAGGAGAGATAAAATACTGGAAGTTATTTTTTTTTCTTGTCAAACTTACTTTGTTCTCGACAAACCGATGGATAATCAAATTGTTAGAGTTTTACTTTAAACTGGTCAAGGATACAACTTACAAGGTATATAATTCGCTCTAACATTGGACTTCTAGTTAATTCAAAGGATCTAAGTACCATTTTTAGACCGCCACAGGTGTGGTGGGTGACGGGTCATATGAGTGGACTGTTCATTTAGTGCTCTTATCGACATTTGATCATATATATATATATCCATAATTTTTCCGAGGTTAACGTGTTCCAAAAGTTAACACAAGTGTGCTCCAAAAGCATTTTTCCGAAAACCAACCTAAACCCGCATCGTTTCTAAAACTGTTTGGGAAAATTGAACTAAATTCGAATCAAAATGAAACTTAGCTTAATTTAGCAGGAAGAATAAATAATCTTTAGTTATATTAACAACTAGTCAAGTTAACGCATGCTTCTAATTCCCCTTTATTGCACTACTTGTACCTTCTATTAATAAAACTTTTACCATTTAAAAAAATGCTTCTAATTTATCCGCCTTCGGAAGGTTAGTTCTCTTTGTTTCGCATATTTTCCCTACTTTCAGATTTGTTTCAAAATAGTTAGAGTTTAAATTGTAACATTAATAATACCAACTCAAACCCTCCAAAATGAAACCATAACACCAACCATATGAACAGATAGCAAAGGAAATGCAAGAATTTAGGATAAGAGAAGACAGTGTAACAATAACTTTGAATTTTCCTTTAGCATTCTCCAGTAGATTTTATTCCTTTGTAGAATTAAGGGCATGGTGGTTGCCGGCTGCACCAACTATTCATCTTTGTTATACTTAATTTGTTTCTCCTGTGGAAGAGCAACTATTTTATTTTTGTTTCTTCTCCCCGCAATTCCCCCAAAAAAAAGCACATGTCTTTTAAGGAAAACAATTAAAGGACAAGATTTAAAGGTAAAGTTAAATAGTACCTGAACTTCCTGCAATAGGTTTGTCCTTGGTGAAGGGCAGGGTAGTTGGAAAGAATTCCCAATTCATTATCATTCAATTCAGTAATTACCTTTACTAGTACATGAGGTTAGCTCATCTATTGACACTTCAAAAAGTAAATAAGATAAATAAGAAGAGTAAGAAAGAGGATTTTGAGCAAAGTCTGTTAGTAGATTTAGTTGGGAAATTCCTTATTATTCAGCACTCCCTTTACTAGTGCGTGAGGTTAGCTCATCCATTAAAGTTGTGAACTGTAAATAAGTAATTGCTCTGTAGTCCGTCCCTACTCATATTTGATTTTTTATCTGGAGTTTAAAAATATAAAAGAGACTTTTGAAATTTATGCAACAAATATTTTTGTAGCTATAATTTATTTCATTAAAAATAAATGAAAGTTTAAAATTAATTTATTCTTATAAATATATAAAAGTATCATTCTTTTTATAAAATACTAAAAAAACGTATCACATAAAATGAAACAGAGAATATAACAAAGAGCCACCAAGAAGTATATAAATAGAACCACCGGGTAAGGTGCACTTCTCCATTTAATGAACCCTGCACGACGCAGATTTACATTATCAAGTTCTACATACCGAGTGTTTAAACAAAAATATTTAACAGAAGGCTAGAAGAGAAAAAGGATTTTGAGCAAAATCGACTTCTAATTATAAGTTATAATAAGATATTATTTTAAAAAAATAGTCGATATTTATTTTCGAGGTATATGGGATGTACCCGATCTGTCCTATGAAATAATAGTAATTTACCTTGTAAGACAAAGGGGGTTGAGAAGTGAGAACCCACTTGGATCAAGGTTGGTCTGCAAGGAGGCCCATGCACGTGTGCAGGTAAAGGAGGCCCATGCACGTGTGGGCATTGACAAGGAAATGAAGCCCAATTTACAGATCCAATTTTTTGTGGGCCGTTTCATATAATATGTGACCCCACTCTGTAGGCCCTGTACCTTTCTACATTTGTCAGCCCTTCCTTCAGGCTTTAATATGCAGTGGCCCATTCCTAATTTCATTTTCAGCCTTTAATATATTTACTCAGACACCACGGAGTTTTGGTGGGTCTTTAATTCTTTCCATTAAACTTTTTTTTATTTTAAATATCAAGTCAACGCCAAGGCTTTCAATGATTGACTCTATCTTTCTCCTTGTGGGATCATGTGGCTGTCTCCTTCCATCTCAGTCATCAATGGTGTAAACTGTAAAGCACGAAAATCCAAGTAAGATAGAAAGGTAACAGAACTGTTTCTCTTTCTATACTTAATTTACGAAAAAAAAAACTTAAATGTAAACTTGCTCTAACCAGCGTATGCTGGAATCGGATTGGTAAGTCGTCCAAAAACAGAAAAAGTTTTACAAGGAAGAGAACTTTACCCAATGAGATAGTATATGCTTTTGGTTTTCAAAATATCGGTATCTCATACATCCCGTTTTGAAAATTCTTAGATGAGGTAACAATTGCGATGACTCAAAGAGGGACATTTGTATCTATATCCGCTTTTTGGGTCACGTTTTAATTTGTGTCCGCTTTGCAAAAAAAAAAAATTGCAAGCGTACTCACTTTTTCGCGTAACTTCAGCATACGGGGCTGAAGTAGTAAAGACAATTACGGAAAATTTCAGTATTCTAATAGACGAGACTGAAGTAGCAAGTGTGTTGAAGTTTTTGTTTATAATTGCTGAACTTAAGCATAGTAGCTAAAGTTTTGTTCTCTATTTGCTGAAATTTTTATTTGTAATTGCTGAAGTTTTTGTTTTTGTAACTGACGAACTTCAGCTCTAGAGTTGAAGTTTTTATTTTTGTAATTGGCGAACTTCAGCTCTAGAGCTGAAGTTTTTTGTTTTTGTAACCGACGAACTTCAGCTCTAGAGCTGAAGTTTTTGTTTTGTAATTGTCGAACTTCAGCTCTAGAGCTGAAGTTTTTATTTGTAATTCGCAAACTTCGGCCATTTAAATAAAAACAAACAGAGAAAGAGTTAGATTTTTAAAATGTAAAGCAACACCACTTCCACAGCAATAAGAATATTTTTTTTTAAAAAAAAAACTCGGATGTTGGAAGATGCAAGATGTAAAGATTCAGTATCTCAAAACAAAGAAACAGTCATCTATCACAACAGATAATATTAATAGAAAATGAGCATAAGATCATAGCTATTCTAGACCGACAGGTTCGCTAGTTGAGGTCGAAGAGTTTTCCTTCGGTTCGTGTTCAGTGGAGAGGTCAGCCTCCTGAGGCATCGACCTGGGAGTCCGAGTCCGATATGCGGGACCGTTATCCTCACCTTTTCCCCGACTCAGGTACTTCCTTCTTATGTCCGTTCGAGGACGAACGGTTGTTTTAGAGGTGGAGAATGTGACGACCCAAAGGGTCATCACCGGTTTTCTCCCTTTTTTCGTGCTTTCGAGGCCTTGAAAACCTCACCTTTAGTTACCTCGATTTGCGTGTATAGTCCGGGCGCATAACCGGAAAAGCTTATGTGCTAAATTATGTGAAATTTGATAAATTGTGGCTTTAAAATGGTCAAAGTTAACTTTGGTCAACATTTTGGGTAAACGGACCCAGTCCCGAACCCGTGATTTGACGGTCCTGGAGGATCCGTAGAAAAATATGGGACTCGGGCGTATGCCCAGAATCGAAATCCGAGGTCCCGAGCCCGAGAAATGAATTTTTAAAAGAAATTATTTTTCTGAAATTTATTTGGAAATTTGAAATGAAAATGAATTAGAAAGCATTGGTATCGGGCCCATATTTTGGTTTCGGCGCCCGGTACAGGTCTTATATGTGGTTTAAGCGCTTTCTGTGAAATTTGGTTGAAATCGGACGTCGTTTGACGTGATTTAGACTTGAATTCCTAAGTTTGAATGTTTATGAAGTTTGATGAAAAAGTGATGATTTTGAGGTTTGATTCCTCGTTTATGATGTTATTTTGTCGATTTAATCGCATGGTTAAGTTCGTAGGAGGTTGTTGAGTTAGTGTGTGTGTTTGGTTAGGAGCCTCGAGAGCTCGAAAGTGTTTCGGAAGTGTTTGTGAGTGGTTTTGGCCTTAGAAAAGTTGCAGAAAATAGCAGTTCTGGTGTTCTGTTATCCAGTGCTATGCGATCGCATAGGCCTTTCCGCGATCGCATAGAGTGAGTTTCCAGGTGCCCTGTTTGTTCTATGCGGTCGCATAGATCCACCTACGATCGCGTATAGTAGCCACCATTTGTTATATGCGATCGCATTCCCCTTCCGCGATCGCAATGCATAAAAACCAAACCCGGAATGGAGCCCTTTTTTTCTATGCGTTCTCAGCAGCCCTTCCGCGATCGCAATGACCAGCTTCCCCTTACCCTATGCGATCGCATTACCTTCTTCGCGATCGCATAGGGTATTTTTGCCCAGCGATTTTAAATGCCTAAAATAGAACAGTGACGAGGTTTAGTCCATATTTCACACGAGTTCTTCTTCTCCACAGCTCTTGAGCGAATTTTTGAGCACTTCTTCATCAAAGTCTTTTGGGTAAGTAATTTCCCACATATTTCCTTCACTCTTCTTCATTAATTACTGAAATCTTAAACCTAAATCATGAAATCAAAGTAGAAATTAGGGGTTTTGGGTAGATTTAGAATTTTGGGAATTTTGAGTGATTCAACCTCAATTTGGGGTCGGATCTTAAAATAAATTATATATTTGAACTCGTGGGGTTATGGGTAATCAGGTTTTGGTCTGAGCCTCGTGTTTGTTCTAACTTTAGTTAGAGGGAATATGATTAGAGTGTTGTTTGCTATTTGCTAATTGTTGAGTACGGTGTATAGACATGGTGACGAGTATCTATACACCGGAGTCTAGCATGACCGTGAGTCTTATTTGTGTTTATTCGGATTTTGTGATACCTTTTCCTTGTTAAATTAATAAATTTCATATAATGTGAAGAGTTTGAGGAAGAATTATGATTTGTACATTCTTGGAGCATTCGCTCGAGTATATCATAAAGCGTGAAAGTATACAAAATGATTGAACCCCTTTGGAGCGTTGGCTTAGGTGGTAAAGTGAGATAAGAGGTAAAAGTAAAAGAAAGTGAAAGAATTATTGAATTGCTCCCTTGCCGGAATGCTTGTTGCTTTGTTGACTATCTCCCTTGCTGGGATGCTTGTTGCTTTGTTGACAATCTCCCTTGCCGGGATTTCTATCAATATTTGTCTACTCCCTTGCCCCTTGTTTGTGATTATTGCTTGGGTGAGGAAGAGTGATAAATCACGAAGGGTGATGTCGTGCATTGTTTGCTATTGTGAGGAAAGAGTGATAAAGCACGAAGGGTGATGCTGTGCATTGTTTGCTATTGTGAGGAAAGAGTGTAAAGCATGAAGGGTGATGCCGTGCCGCACGATGTACCATTCCGTGCCGATTTTATTGATTATATAGTGAGGAAAGAGAGTAAAAGCACGAAGGGTGATGCCGTGCATATTTTATTTATATGATTACTTTGGTGAGGACGAGAGTAAAAGCACGAAGGGTGATGCCGTACATTTGTTGCTTTCTGATTCTTTGTTGATATCCGAGTTATATTGTTATATTTTTTTTCATCACTTGTTCTTATTTGATTTACTTCGAGGTTATAGATTTCCTTACCCTATTTGCCTTGTGATTGTTATTTGGGTGAGGAAGAGCGTAGAGCACGAAGGGTGATGCCGTGTACTATTTTGGTGAGGACGAGAGTAAAAGCACGAAGGGTGATGCCGTACAAATTGTTGATATTTGATTCTTGTTGACATTCTGGCTTTGTTACTTCTTTCTGTTATTGAGGATTTCTATTTGGAACTGTTAGCTCCCCATAGCATGCTCTCCCCTCTTAGCTGTTTAAGTTTTGTATATTTCCTTTTATTGCATATATCTGCACAGGTTATTTTTGGTAGGTCCTGTCTAGCCTCGTCACTACTTCGCCGAGGTTAGGCCAGGCACTTACCAGCACATGTGGTCGGTTGTGCTGATGCTACACTCTGTGCATCTTTTTGCACAGATCCAAGAGCAGCTTTTGGACCTCAGCAGTAGGATTTGATCGGGAGCTGACTTCAGTCCAGAGACACCATGGTAGCCTTGCTAACATCCGCAGGCCCGGAGTCTCTCTCTCTTTATTCAGTTTGTTATCTTTTGTACCCAAACAAACAGTTTATAATTTTCTTTCAGACAATTGTATTTAGTAAATCTTAGAAGTTCGTGAGTATTGTGACACTAATCCTGGGTAGAGGATTATGTTAAACTTTCCGCATTTCTATTCAGTTTTTATATAAGTTAAGACTTCCGCTTGAAGTTTTGATTATGTTGCCTTTATTACATGTTGATAATTATGGAAAAGAATGTGTGTTAAATGGAAGGTAATTTAAGTTGGCTTGCCTAGCTCCTATTAGTAGGCGCCATCACGACCCCGAGGGTGGGAAATCCGGGTCGTGACAAGTAGGCATTTGCATGAACCTTACTTCTGGAAAAAGAAAAGATAAAACTTTGAGGAGGAGAAATGAGGCTGAAGTTGTTTAAAAAGTAGGTACAAGTTACAACTTTAAAAAAAATGGGTATAGGTTAAATGGGGGCGACCAAATGGGGCGCCCCGTGCAATTTTTACCCCAAAGCATCATCTTCTATTTTAGAACTCGAATCCATATTCCAAGGCCTTAAAAACCTCATTTTTATCTCTCCTCAGTTTGCGTGCGCAGTCCGGGAGTGTATCCGGAAAGCTCTTATGTTAAAACTTTATGAAATGATAATTTTTGGCCTTGTGAGTACATAATTTTTGCCCTATTTGAAATACTCATGCAGATTAAAAAAATAAAATTTTCCCAAATTGTTTGCAATTTTATAGGATTTTTTGTAGAATTTTGTTAATTGTTTGCATGACTAATTCTGTTAAAATCATGAAAAAATATTAAAAATATCATGCATTGCATTTAAATTTTGTGTTCATATTTTAGGATTAATTAGTTAATTAATTGCTTTGGTAAAAATGAAAATCACAAAAATTGGCTCATTTTTACATTCTTAGCTTTAATTTTAGATTATTAATTTTTTCTTTTAATTTAGGGTCAATTAATTGTTATAAATTTTATAATTGGATAATTAGATTAATTTTAAAATTTAGATTAATTTAGAAATTTAATTTAGGATTTTTAATTAAAGAGAAAGAAAAGAAAACAAGGAAAAAAGAAAGGAAATTGGAAAAAAGGTTTGTTTTGGACTCAATTTGGGCCAAATGTGTTAAGCCCAATTAATTTTGGCTCAGATCCGACCCAGCCGCTACCCAAATCCGGTTTAGCCCCTTGCATAAGTCAAACGACGCCATTTTTAGTTCAATCAAATCCAAGCCGTTGATGTCGTGTGATCCAACGACTAGGAACTGGCCTTGGTTTCATATATAGCTGTCCTAACACAGACATCCCCCATCGAACCATTTCAGTTTCCATCTCCCTTTCTAAACAAATCAAACCCTAGCCGCCCCCTTATGCCCTCGCCGCCTCCGCCGTTGACCACCCACCGAAAATTGCCTCACGGCGGCTACGGTGCTCCAAAACCTCCCAAACTCACACTCCACAACCCTGAGCCCTTTCCCAACACCATTCCACCATCATTTTCCCCCAAAACACCACCTAAATCCACCAATTTCGGATCTGAGTTCAAAACCTAAAAAAACCTAAGTCTCCGAAACCACCCAAAACTCACACCCCATGACCTCCACACCCCCTGTAACCCAAATCCCTCAGTATTTAGTTATTTGAATCATTTGTTAGCATGTTTAGGTTAATGGTGTGATCACCTAATTTTTCCCCTACATGAAAATAACTCCCAAAAATAGACCTAAATAATTTCAATTGATTTTTAGGAGTTTTTTCTTTATTTAGTTGCATTTCATGCATTTTTAATATTTTAAAATCATAGAAAAATCATAAAAAATGTCACGTTTTAATTCATGTCATCTTAGGTCTAATTTGGATATAGGAATTAATTTTATTAAACAAAAATCACAAAAAATTACTACAATAGTCATGTCCACATTTTAGCTTTTAGTTTTAAATTAATTAGTTTTAAATTAGTGAAAATAAGTAAGATTAACTTTACAAAATAATTTAAGGTAGAGCCTAATTTAGGATTTTATTTAGCTTGTTTAGTTAATTCAATTAGATTTTTTTAAATCAAAAGAAAAACAAAAAAAAAAGAAGTAGATTTGGTCTTTCAATTTCGTCTAGGCCAGCTTATTTTGAAGCACAAAAATCTCAAATTACCCAAGCCCATACAATCCCAACTCACTACCCAAATACCCATTACCCTTTACTAAAACCCTACCTCCTACATATAAAAACATATTTTTCTTAGACCTAGAGATAATGTCAGATTTTCCCTTCTCTAAAGAGAGAGAAACGACGCCTCTCTGCTCTTGAACATAGACAAACGACCATCCCCTCCCTTTTTCTTCATTATCTTCTCTACAAAATAGACCTAAGACCTAAAATCCCTAACCCTTAGAGATCAGCCATGGACCCCTTTGATTAACCTAGAAGACAACCACATACACAAGAGAGAGGAAGTAGTGGACAAACTTAGGATTCCTAATCTAAAAAATACAAGAAAAATTATAGAGAAAAATCCAAAGAAACATCATGGAAAGAGATTACGAAGTTGCTGCATTTTTTTTTGTGTTTTTATACAAATTCTGGTTCCTCAATCAAATTTTCAACTGAGAATACAAGTTGTCTTCTGCTATCCCTGTTGTTGTAGCTTGTTTTGTCTTGCGGAGCTTCATTTTCCCTTCTGTCTAACCTTTATTTGGCACGCATAGTGTATTTCCCGCATAATTAGGTATTCATCCTTTGAATTCAAGTTCTTATTCTGTAAAAAAAATGGATCGATTCTTTTGTTTTGCCATGAAATGTGAAAATTTAGATTTTTACTGTTTTGGCGTTCTTTTGCTAGATGTATGTTCATGGGTACTTGATCGAGGCCAACCCTGCACTACTATTGAGTAGTGAGAGAGGGTCGAAGGAGCCTTTATTCGATTAAGGTCGGGATCAATTTCCACAGGGAGCTAGAAGTTGGAGTAGAGTTTCTATCTAATTGAGAGTTGTGTATGTGTTCCAAATTACACTTCTAAATATTTTTGGGTTTTTGTTTTACTTCTAATGTTATCAAACTACAATGCTAAATTAAACTAGAATAAGCTAAGAGTAAACTATTGTGAGTTGTTCAAATGGTAAAAAGGCACTAGGGTAGTGACTTTCGCCTAGGTGGTCAATTGATGGATACTTGAGTCTAAGGCATGATTAACATATTTGGGGAGTATGATATAACCATTGCACGATTTTACCCACTCTACACCTCTCGGTGGTTCGAGTGATTTTGCCCGGATTGACTTTCTCAAGACCAATTGAGTATGCAAATTTGCACAAGCAATCAAGGTTCAAGTCGGGTATTACTATCTCTAGGTTTAACCCTTTTTATTAGGGCTATCAATCTCTTGAGTACGCTCGAATTCCTTGTTGGACCAATTTCAGAGACTTAGGCTCTCTTTCTCAAGAAGAGCCAAAGTCAACTAAACACAAACTAGTGTTTGCAACCACCAATTCAACAATTAAACATGAAATTAGCCCAAATATCAAACACCCATAGTCAATCTAGCCCGAAAACACAAGACCCATCAATTACCCACACTAGGGTTGAGCCACAACCCTAGCTTATGGGTCTAGCTACTCATAATTAGAGAAGAAAACAAAGAAATAGATGAAGAAAAACTCATATTAATTAATTGCTAAGATAAACTAGAAGATTCAATGTTGAAATGAAGCTAAAATTACTCAAAATAGCTAAAATATTCGAAGTCACGAGCACAACCCAGTACCAAAACTATCTGATAACCTAAAAATAGGAAAAGAAGCTATTTATACTAAGCTGAAAAATCTGGACAAAAATACCCCTGCGGGGCTAGTGCGGACAACACAAAATCACGTGCGGCCGCACTAAGGCTCTTGACTTAAAATTCAGCTCTCTGAACTCGGGCAATGCGGACCGCACAAAATCGAGTGCAGCCGCGGTGGCTTCTAGTGTGGTTTACATGAAATGGAGCGCGGACCGCGTTGGGCTTCAAACTCCAAACTGGCACTTATCTGATCCTTGGCTCTGCAGACCGCACTAAATCGAGTGCGGCCGCAGTGACTCCAATGCAGACCACATTAAATCTCATGCGGCCGCATTGCTTGTTGGCCTGGAATCAACCTCTCTGAACCTCACTTGTGCGGACCACACAGAATGGTCTGCGGTCGCATTGGGCCTATTTTGCCTGAGCTTTGTCTTGTCTTGGTACTTGTGCAAGTTTCACTCCTTTTTGAGCTGATCTTTGACATCTTGTCACTTTGTTGATCAAACCCGTAATCAAGCACAACTTGTGAGCCTTTTGGGACTATTTTGTACAAATTTCTAATCAAAACATAAGCAAGAAGGAGTGTAAAATGTATCAAAATCCCTAGTTATCAACTCCCCAAAACTTAAGCTTTTGCTTGTCCTCAAGCAAACAAAATAAGACCCACCCTTTAAGGAAAATTCCAAGAAAATTCAGTTGTTCTAAAGTGCCCTCATCTAGCATCAATTGGGACTAACAATTTCCTTCAATACAAATGAATCATTAACAATATTTACTCTTTGAAACACCATGGATTAAGTGCGACACAAGAGCATCAAGAGTTGACTCAACACATCAAAAGATTCTTTCTATTACTTTGGTCATTGTGGAACCAGACTCACACATTCTCAACTCTCCCTAAGCAAACCTCACCTTTAGAATAGTAGTACTCACAACGAGGTTAATGGAAAATCACCTATCTCTCTCAAGGAAAAGTCATGAGTCCGGCTCTAAGTACCATATGCTTTCCCCTTATGTGAGTCACCACTAATGTAAGTTTCATTCAACTCAAGATCATATAAAGCTTTTGTGGAGACATAGTAAAGGCTTTTGGTTTAGGGTAGGTAATGTTTGGTCTAAGTAGATTCCATCTTCCCTTAAGCACTTCTTTTGTTTCATTTTGGCTCAAATTCATTTGACTTTTTGAGTCTTTTCACTTCTCTCTAAGGGGTTAGAGAGACACACTGTCACTCTTTCTTGTACATTTCAAATCTTTTCTCCTTTCTCAACTTTCCACACCTTTAATTCTTTGCTTTTCTTGAATCCCTTTTTTATTCAATTCTACTTTGAGCATTCTTTTTGTCTTTTTGCTTTTCCTTCTTTTTCATTGCCTTTCCTTTTCTTTATTTTGTACATTTTA